AGCCAGGCACCCGAAGGAGCGAGTTGTACCCGGACGCGGCGCGATCTGGCCCAGCCATGGACCGGAAGGTGGCCCGAGAATTCCGGCACAAGGTCAGAGCTGCTAGGGGCGCCCCAAGCGCCCGGGACCCCTCCCTTTTCCAGTTGGGCCTGAGGGCTCTGGGTACGCTGGGACCCCCGATGGTGCCAGTAAAATGAGGCAGGAGCACTGGGACTCTGGGTGTAGGAACTGCTAAACTGATCTCAGTGTCCTTTCCGCTTCTGCCCTCCAGGGGCTGGGACCTCTTTGGAGTTGGAATTCCAAGTGTCCTGAGACAGGACACTTCTCTGAGATGCCCCAAAGAGGGCAAATCCCCCAGCTCCTAGTGCCCCCAGCTCAGTTGAAGCTTGTGGAGAGGGTTGGGGTAGTGTCTCAGAGGTAGGGGAACTGCATGTCTCTCTTTGTCTTTTGACTTCAACACCCTTCAGGGAGCCCCACTGCCCCGCACCTTCTCTGCTTAATTGCATTTCTTAGGTCCCAAAGAAGAGAAGCAGTTGAGGAACTGGTGCTGGCCAGGGGGCAGTGGGAAGAAGGGAGGTGGTCCAGAGAGTCAGCCAGACCCTTCCAGCAAAGCCTTATCTCTTCCCTTGGGTCCTGCTGAGGGGCCTCATTGGTGGTCAGGAATTCAGACCATCACTGAAAGCTGCTGGATTTCACCCAGGGAATTTCCAGAACAGTTTCCAGAGATGTGCAAGAGCTGCTGAGGCCCTGAGACCAGAAAAGACCATTCAGGAGACCTAGGGGACCTCCCCACCAGGCCTTAGGATGACTCAGAGCCTAAGGGTCAAACCAGGGGTGCCTGGAGCTACCTACAGGCCCTGCCTGAGGGACTAGGAACTGTGTGCCCTGCAGCCCTCCCAGAGCCCAGAGGGTCGCTGTCTTTAGACCAAGCCAACTCCCTTCTCAGGCCTAAGGGGTAGAGCTCAGATAGGCAAGATCAGGGTACTTAACCCCTCTCTCCCCACAGAGAGGCCCAGGGGAGCCCAAGGAGCCAGCCAGAGCAGGGGCAACAGGGGCTGAGTGCCAGGAGCCAGGGGTCAATCATTCAGTTAATAAACATGTGTTGAGTACCTTTTGTGTGCCAGACCCAGTCTCTGCCCTCAAATTGTTGGTCATGTGGAAGGGAGGCAGACCCTACACTAGTAAGTACCCCCAGCTGGCTGCTGAGCATTGGGACCAAGGTTTGCTTGGGGCACAAAGTGGGTGACTCATACTGGCAAAAGTCTTTTAAAAATGAGGCCTTGGGCATCCAGGGGTGAGAGATAGCTGGGGGGCTGGTGAATAGCTAAGGGAGCATTAGACAGTGTTCACCGGAGTGTGTACCCTCTTTCAAAGGGATGTGAGGGGAGAAATTTTGGCAATGAGGACATTTGGTGAGTGTAGATTTCAGACAACCCACTTTGAAGGATCACAACCTTGAGTCCCCCACCCCAAGACTCAGGCTGGAATTTTACTTTCCTGCCCTGGGCTGAAAGTAAGGTTGGATCCTCTTTTGTCTCCTCCCTGTGGGGTATTAGTCTTTGCCTCTTTTGAAAGAATTACCTCTGGGGTCCCAGTGTCCACCTCAGACCTCTGGGTTAGCCCTGTTCCTCTTCACCAGGCCCTGCAGGCTTCAGAGGGCCTCAGGCCTCTGTGTTTCCACTGCCCTGCTCTTCCTCTTCACAAGTCATTACCTATTAATGCCCCGTGTGTGCAGGCGGGGCAGGCGCCATGCTGGGCAAGGCCTGGGCTGGACTTTGTGCCCTGCAGCTTCGGAAGCAGCAGCAGCCTTCCCCTCCCAGGCTGGAGATCATCTGGGAACTAGGGAGAAAGGAAGAAACGGCCGAGGATAGAGATGGGGGCACACAGGTGTATTCTGTGAAATCCACCCCTTGCTGTTGATCGCTTTCTGGATGTTCCTTCCTTAGTGTTTCACAGCAAATTGACCCCTTGGGGATGATTTGTAATCTAAATCCATAGTGTATTAAAGGTAGTATGTTGTCATGGAAAGTGCTATGTGACTTTGAGCCAGCTATTAACCTCTCTGTGCCTCAGTTCTCTATTTAAACGAGGATAACAGTAATATCTAACTAGTAATGTTATTGTGAGTGCCGGATGAAATCTACACATATACAGAGAGCTTAAATTGACCCTGGCACTTAGTGAGTCCTCAACAAATGTCCATTGCTGTTGTCTATTATCTGGGTTATGCAGAACTAGGGTCAAATCTCAATCCTGTCAATTTACTGCCAGTGAGACCTTGGGCAAACCACGTAATCTCTCCAAGTGTTAGCTTCCTCTGTTATGAGGTTCGTAGTGCTTCCCTTAAAGGACGGGATATATGAAATAGGAACTCAAGTGCTGGCTACTCTGAACACATAGTAACCATTTAGTAAATGGCCACCCTGTTCCCACTGATGTCTTCAGAGCAACAGGAATCTGTTCCTCTGGGCTGGTGCAGGTTCCCAAAAGCACCAGAAACATTCACATGGCCTTCTGGGTCACAGCCTTGAGCCAGGATACCAAGGAGAGGGAAGGGGGGCAGCAAAGACTAAGGCTTCTCCCCCTGAGAACCAGCTTCTGCAAAGAAGGCTGCTCCTCTGCTCATTCACCTGCACGGTGCAGGAAGTTGGTTACTCATTTGCTCAAAAAGTATTTATTGCCTGTGGGTATCTGTGGTGTACCCTGCTCCAGGCCAAGCATCTAGGGGTGGGGTGAGATACATAAAAAGGTCAGAAAGAGGTCCTGCCTTCTAGGGATTTCCTCCTCATTCATTCATTTATGAATGCAGTAAATATTGGCTGAGCTCATAGTATATGCGAGACAGTGTTCTAACCATTGAATAGCAAAACAGAGTCCCTGCTCTCTTAGGGAGCACATTCTAGTAGGGAAGATGGACAGTTAACAAGTAAGCCAATCAAATTATCAAACAATGCCAAGTAGTAATACAGGCTATGAAAAAATAAACTGGGATAAGGAGATAGAGAGTAATGAAGCTGTACTCTCTGTATAGGGTAGTCAGGAAGGCCTCTCTGAAGAGGTGATATTTGAGCAGAGACCTGAAAGAAGTGAGGGAAGGAGTGTTGGGGATATATATGGAAGAACATTCCAGGATAGGGAACAGCAAGTGCAAAGGCCCTGAGGCAAGGAGATGCTTGCCTTCTTTCTGAAGGGCAAGTGCTCAATGGTGCTTCTGAGATGAATTATGGAATTCTGAGAAGAATTCAGAGAGTGGTGGGAGATGGATCAGAGGGGTGGTGGAAGCCTGGTAGTCCATGATCAAGACTTTGGGATTTGTTATGTGATGAGAAGCCAGCAGGGGACTGACATGACTGATTTACATTTAAAAGGAATTGCTCTAAGATTTTAACATAAACTTCACAAAAAAGATATACAAAGGGCCTATAAGTATGTAAACGAATGCTCTACAGCATTAGTCATTAAGGAAATGCATATTAAAACAAGATAACATTTTACATCCTCTAGAAGAGGCTAAAATTGAAAAGACTGACAATAACAAGTATTGGTGAGGATGTGGAACCACTAGAGCTCTCATGCATTGCTGCTGTGAATACAAAATGATACAACCATATTGTAAAATACATAGGTGGACAGTTTCTTATAAAAGTTAAATATACATTTACTGTATCACCCATCAATTCCACTCCTAGTTATTTACTCAAGGAAATGAAAATATATGTCCACAAGACTCAGATATTATGATAAACAGGTGAACAAATTGCAATATATCTACGCAGTGGACTATTACCCAGTAACAGGAAGGGGCACACTATTACTGCACGCAACGACACAGGTGAATCTCAGAAACATTCTCCTGAGCTAAACAGTGAGCACAGAAGTGTGTTCTGTATGATTACATTTTTGTGAAGGGGCTGGGAGCGGGACTAACGGAAGAAGAAACTCTGAGATGATGAAAAGATTCTAGTGGTGGTCACACGAGCGTAGAAATTTGTTGAAACTCACCACACTGGTCATTTAAAATAAATAAATTTTTTTAAAAGGAATTGCTCTGACTACTGGTAGAGAGCAGACTGAGAGGGCCAAGAGGAGAATCCAGTTAGGAGGCTCCTGAAGTAGCCCAGGCCAGAGGCAGGGGCTTGGACTAGGATGAGCAGCGGCCAAGCCCAGGATGCATGTTAAAGCTGGGCCTCATGGGCTTTGCTGGTGGCTCGGCTGCGGGTGCGGAGAGAGAGGCATCAAGAGTGAGTCTCCTTTTGGGGAGAAGGAGCGATTTGGGGAGGACAGAGTGGAAAGTGGTGGAAACTGAGAGCTCCGTTTTGAATGTTTTCAGTTTTAAGTGTTAGATCTTCAACAGGCGAGTGAGAAGGCCAGAAGCTGTAGGAGTGTGGAGACTGGGGGACAGGTCTGTGCTGGACATAAGTCTCAGTGAGTCCTTGGGGTATAAGTGGTAGTTCGAGGCCTGAGACTGACGAGGTCACTTAGGGAGACAGTGCAGATGGAGAGAAGACCCAGGACAGAACTCAGGACACCCCAACCTTTAGGGGAGAAGGAGCAGCAAATAAGGCAGGAAAACCAGGAGAAGGGAGCATGGTCAGCTGTGCCAAACACTGGGTCAAATGCTACCAACTAGTTGGCAAGATAGGAGTCTTTTGAAAAGATGAAGGGTAATAAAACAAGAGACAAGCAAACCCATACTATCTGGGATGCAAGCCCAGAAGGCCTGGGAAGAATGTGCCTGGGCCCATTCTTCCCACCAACATCTATGGAGGCCCCACTCTCTGCCAGCTGCCGAGAATATAGAATTTGTGTCATTTATTCTTACTTAGTTTTATTTAACAAATACTTACAACTTACTATTCGCCTAGCACTGTTCTAAGCATTTGACAAATAATAACTCATGAATAATTTTAAAATTATTAACCCTTCATAGAAGGATGAAATCCTATGAAGTAGATACTTTTATACCCATTTTACAGATGAAGCAGAGAGCTGCAGACCCAGATGGGGAAGGAGCTTGTTGGCCTCTCTCTCCACACTCCCCCCAGGCCTGTGCTTGGGCACACACACATTAGTGGGGAGACAAGTGGGTAAG